CTAAGAAAACAAGAACACTGACAGAATCATGGATACAGAGAGCATTTTGATGGTTGCCAGATAGGAAGGAGGTGTGGGGAAATCGGTGAAGAGGTGAGGGGATTAAGAAGTACAAATAGGTAGTCACAGAATAGCCATGGCGATGTAAAGTACAGTATAGGAAATGGAGTAGCCAAGGAACTTACACACATGACCCGTGGACATAAACAATGGTGGGGGATTGTCTGAGGGAGTGGGGGTGTTGGGTGGAGGGGTGCAAAGTGGGGAAGGAAAATTGGAACAACTGTAATAGCATAATCCATAAAATATAATTTTAAAAATTCCAATTAAAAAGACTCCATAAAAGTGATAGTCTTTGCTGAGAGTTGCCACAGTTTCCTGCTTTAACAGTGCTTGAATGTAACCTGGTGCTTGACCCCCATCCCAGGCAGCCGCACAGATCCATCCTTCTGCCACCTTTTCACAGTGCCCCCAGACTGTCCCAAGGCCCCTGCCACCACTCGAGCACCCTGAAGCCGCTTGTCCTCAGCTGCCCATCATGACAACCATGTCCACCTTGCAGGTGCACCAGAACTGCCACTAGGGCTCAGAGGCCACCATCAACCACCAGGTCAACCTGAAGCTGTACACTTCCTCCATCTACCTGTCAATGTCTTACTACTTTAACAGCAATGATGTAGCTTCGAAGGACTTCGCCAAGTATTTTCTTCACCAATCTCATGAGGAAAGGGAGCATGTTGAGAAACTAATGAAGCTGCAGAACCAATAAGGTGGCCAAATCTTCCTTCAGGATATCAAAAAACCAGACTGTGAAGACTGGGAGAATGAGCTGAACGCAATGGGAGCGTGCATTACACTTGGAATCAGTCACTATTGGACTTGCACAAACTGGCCACTGAAAAAAATGACCACCATTTGTGTGACTTCATTAAGACTCACTGTCTGGATGAGCAGGTGAAATCCATTAAAGAACTGGGTGACTACGTTCTTTGTACAGGTTGGGGGCCCCTAAGTCTGGCATGGCAGAGCATGTCTTTGACAAGCACACTCTGGGAGACAGTGAAGAGAGCTAAACCTTAGGCTGACTTCCCGCAGCCACGGGAGTGACTTCCCTGGTCACCGAAGCAGTATGTGCACACTGGATTACCTTTAACTTTCCTGTAACTTGTACCAAATCATCCACTCATGTCCTTCATTTGTACCATTCCTTCAAATAAAGTAATTTGCTACTCCCCCCAAGAAACTCCATAAAATCCACACACAGTTATCATATATTTATTTTAACATATCACTTCAGTTTCACATCATGTACATTTTCCAAATTTGGAGATTCTTAACCTACTATGTTCTTCACAGACTTTCCAACAAGTGTGAAAAAGAGGCAATAAGGTTAGCTTGAGTCTACAAGTTACAATCCAAATATAGGATACCCTATATTTCTTTATATTTAAGATCAATATACATAATGTTCCCTATGCTTAGCAAGCAAATGAGATTATGAGTAAAACATTAACACAAACTATTACCACATAATCATGAAAAGACAGAAGGCATCAAGTATATACTTTGCTATTACTCATTATACTATTACTGTTGTGAAAAAATATACATTTTTACTTTCAAGGTTAAAATAGACCATCAGCTCGTTATCTCTCCTGGCCCACGGCTACAAAAACTAAAATGGCTCTTCCTGACTGTGGCTCACTTGAACATATTTGTGCTAAAGAGAGAAAAAAAAAAAGAATAGCAGTGCTGAAGGAAAAGGTATACCCAATTCTCAAGGTGGGTGCAATTGAATCTCTCACACAAGTTGCCTTAAAACAAAACAAAAACAACACAATTCAGTTGATCCCATCGTCATACAATGGGTTACTGCATCAAGTGTTCCACTGACAGGGCAAAGCTTCCTGAAGGACCTTTAGGATGGAATTGGTACCTGAAGATTTCCTCATTGTAGTAGCCAAATTCCAAATCAAGCCAATGTCCTCTGGTCTTCAGTGTCATAAACCCACTTTTTTCAACCTCACATGGCCATGAATTTAGCTTAGAGCAAGATAGGAGAACTCACAAAACCCAAAAAATTTAAAAAAACCCAATTGTTAAGAGCAGAGAAAGGCTTCTATAATAGAACAAGTCCTCTCAACTGAAACCCTACAATGCCTTTTAGAAAAGGTTCCATTAACATCATGTGTGTTAGTCAATGAAGAAAATAACTACAGAAGCCTAAAAGCAACACCTACCTGAAATGTCTTGCTCACATTCACAGTCTGTTTCAGGGCATGCTTGTAATGCAGCCTCCAAAAGCCTATTTTTGAGAAGGGAAGCAGCTCTTAGAACCTCCTTGTACAGCTTTTAAAGTCTGGCCCTCCATGTCTGCTGTCCTTACAGTTGCTCTTGGGAGAGTCACATAACTAGATTCATTTCTTAATGCAAACAAGCAAAGCAGGGTGATTCACAGAGTAAGACTCACACTCAAATATCCATCAATGACTGATCTGTTGGTATTGGTGGGAAGTCTCTCTTAGCTTCTGCCAAAGGAGAAACAAGATATGCCAGCTCAGAACTCCAAAAACCCAAATCCCTACTTCTTTCCACATTGAGTCATGATGGAAAAATAACCCCTTACAGAATACCAATAACTAAAGTGTAAATTCAAGTGATCCTTTGATCAAAGTTTTAAAAGTGTACACTTAAAACAGGATAAACCCGTTGGAAAGAGAAACCAAAGTTACTAGTGTTATATATAACTAAGAGGAGAAAAAGGCCTCTTAAATGATATATTTCATTTTGTTCGTATTCATAATTTCCAAGCTACAACTGACTCCTACTTGTCAATATGGGAAGACCTGGTTGCTAAGATATTTGAAATTCTTTTTTTATATATATGTTTAAAATCACATTCCCTTGGTGATATATAGCCAGGAGGTGTGATTCTAGTTTGTTTTGAACAAATTTTTTAGCTCTAAGGTGTTATACTCTAATTGAGATACTTCAAACTACTCCTTAAAAGACATTTGCAAAAGCTCGTCTTAACTGCAAAGAAAACATCCGTTCCAGATTTTCTTATTGATCTTCTGAATATACATCTATTATTGAGGGTGAGATCATTTAAGGAATAGACAATATCATTTAGAAACAGACTATAGAATCAAGTCACATATGAAGAGTTCAGACATATCTTTATGATAGTTCAGACATTGGTAGGAAATCAAAGGAAAACTCATGTTTTTGATTACTCACCCTAAAGTATGCTGAAATTGAACACTTGCAACCCAACTAACCAAAGATATGCTGAAAGAAACTAACTTACTACATATTGTGTTCATTTCTAGTCTATTTTAAAAACAAACTCCCATAAGGAATACAGGAATGGAATCCATTCAAAGCAACAGCTTTCAAAAGTTCTGCCAAGAAACTCAAGAGTAACTTACTGCATCATGAAAGGTGAGGTGTTCAGAAGAATAGTTCAACCATATTCTTTCCCTTCAGATTTTATTTTTTACTTCAATCTATGAGAAATATCTAGATCTAATATTAAAACATGTTTTTGTAATTTCAGACTGATTAAGTAAATAAAATTTAACATAGAAGAAACTCTTCTAATCCATTTGCTAGAGAGGCTCAAGGAGTTAACCTAGAATCCATAAAAATCAGTCTGGCATCCCAACTCCACCACTAATTACTTCTTCCTATAGATTCCTGGGCTAGGAACTGTGGTTTCTCCAGGCCTTGGTTTCCCCCTTAGCAAACAGGAAGAGATGGTATAAACTTGGACATCTTATTCTCCAATGACAGTAAAATGGGCATAGCTTCCAGCTAAGCTTTCATCTCTTCCAATCAGGCCCAAGGCAGTTCTCTAATATTAATAAAGCAGTTAAATCCTTCCAACTAAAGCAAATTATCTGCATTGATGACATGTACTGTTTGGATTTGTACTCCATTTCAGATATATACTGTTTGGATTTGCTCCATGTCTACTGGCTAGGAAGATGGCAAAAACAATATGCCACATACAAGAGAAACTATCAACTCCTACTGTACTTTAATCCTTGGGACTACAAGACCCCTATGGAGGAAGGCCACTTAACAACAAGGTTTTTAAATCCCTATGGATGGGGCAACACCGGCCTTCTGTCCACAGAACTCTGCCCAGCAAGCAGGTCTAATTTTGGAGTAGTTTTCTAGAAGAGATATAATGGTGATTTCAATAGCCCAGCCCTCCTATAAACCACTTGAAAGGCCCACAGAAGCATTATAAGGAGTTATAGTCCTAAACTGAAAGTGCATATCCTAAGAAAACAGAGAAATAGAGTGAGAACGAGCACTAGGGTTAGGTAATAATGCATATAAGTTTATTCACATCTATGTGTTTTTATTTAATTGTTTTTTTAAAAAGCCACTTCTAAACAACTAATAAACTGTGATCACTAGAAGTCCAGCCAAGAAGGCTGGGTTTAGCTATTATTGGTATGTGCTTTAATGCAATGCCTTTCTTAAAATATTGGTGAGACTATGCAACTCATGCAGCTTTGATTGTCTAATGCAAGTTTTTTCCTTTAAATAAAAAACAAACCAACTAAACAAAATCCCAACCTAATTTTGCTCACTCTGGCATTGATTTGATGGGGGAAGTGTCAATATTTTAAAAATACGTAATATATAGTAGCATTGCTTAGTTTATGTCTGCTTAATGGATATGAAATGCTATCTCAAGTGAGTATATATGTAACTGGAAGATTATGGGATAAAATGCATGTGCTAGTCTTTCCTGGATTGAATGTAACAAAAGACAAACATGCTGTGAAATAGCTGCAACAAGGACACTGTTGATAATATATGTTGCAGCTCCCAGATCTCAGAATATGGGAAAAGAAGTTAATTTTGCATGGACCCATTCATGACCTCAGGAAGGGTTTAAACTAATTCTGAATCTTTCCTACAGGGACAAAAAAAAAAAAAAAAAAAGGCAGCCAAAGGGGAAGGAAGAAGGTATGAATAGAGAAAGAGTTCAAGATTTCTGATTTTCAAAATCAAGCCAATTCAAAAGCCTTTAATACACACAGAACAGAATCAACAATTTGTTTTTCTTTGAAAAAACATCATCTGTTTGAGACTTCCTCTTCTGCCATTAAGCTACTGATAAAGCTTGCCAAATGGAATAAGGAAGCATTAAATAAATGCCTAATTTTCTAAAAGCTGTCAACTACTGAAATCAAAGACTTAATCTCAGATGCTGCAAACCTATCCAAACCACTTCGAAAAGGACGCTAGGCACACCCCACCCCTATAGCCTAAGAATGTGTAAAGTAGCAAAATGCATAACAGACAGCATTTCTTGCCATCAGTCTCTCAAACTGATGTTAAAGCTGGTGTGCCCTGATCCCTGTGAGGTTTGGTCAATTGCCATTTTCAACTTGGGCTTTCAGGTGAAGCAGCAGCTATCCGAATTTTGATAGGACACTGGCTTCTGCAATTTGAGCTCACCATTTTACATCACTTACACTGGAATCAGCTGGGCCCCTCTTGACTGCACATAAATCAGTCACTTCCCAAGGGTACACTTCACAAAGAACCAAATAACTATATATCCAGTGTCAGAATTGGCTTTCTTTCATTATTATTTCATACCAAATACACTCACAGCCCAAGTTAGAATAAAAAAGACAAAAATAATTACCAGAGATTGTTGAATGGTTAGCAACCATTTTCCCTCTTCTTTCCCAGTTTGAATACCTGGGTTCAAACAACAAATGTTTATCAATCCAAACAGTCTCATCAGCCTTTCATATTTGATGGGTAGTTTCCAAATTCATGCATTTACAGATATGTTATCCCATGCATGATAAAAGTAGAAATATGGCAACTACTTATTTAATTTGATCAGGCAAGGCAGTTAAAGCACATTGCTCTTGCCCAAAAATTTACATGAAAGAACTGAGTTATCTGGGTTGACGACCTAGATGGGTCAAGTTAAATAGATTACTGACAAAAATTCCCCTTTACAAAGGTGTAAAGATCCAGTAAGTCTTAGACATTCGGTAGAAAACAATAGTCATGTATTATTTATAGCTAAATATAATATCAAAATGGCACTAAAGAAGCAATTTTTGGCATATGGTGGTGGAGAGCACAGAGCCAGTCTAAATCTGATGCTTTTGTTTTATTTTAGTTTTTGTTTTATTATTATCATGCCAAAAACTATCCAGTTAGAATTCCAATTGTTCAGGAAACCAACCTACTGTACATGATATACATAAAAAAAAAATAAAACAAGCATCCTGAACGTACTGGGTTATGAGGTTTTATACAAATCATAAATTCTTGAAATAAATAATGCTCTAAATTATTATTTGCTAGAAGACTGACTTTTGGTAAGGAGCAACATCTAACACCTCAAGGAAGTATTGAAGAATTGGAGAGAAATTCCATTGATAATTACAATTTCAAGTGTGATAATCAGTTGTATTTTTTCCATCACAGTAAAACATACAAGAGAAAAGGTGACATAGATTCTATTCCACTGCTCACAGCTTTTGACACAGTCAGACGTCTATGACAAGTAGTTGGATTGACATATTTGAAGGAAAGATCTTGGCAGAAAAGGTCACCCACTGTTACTTGGATCTTGGGGGTCACAACACAGTAACTGGACGAAGTTGTTCCAGTTGGTTTTCCAATGCAATGCGTTCTTGATGAACTTCCTGAGTTGTAAAAAAAGAGAAAAAAAAGAGAAACAAAAAAGCAAAGGAGTCATTTCCTAGGTTCACCCTTATTTCATCAGATACTAAAAAGAAACATAACTAGACCATTACAATTTAAGTACCATATGATTTAAGGACAGGTGGACTGGAGGTGTCATGTTTATAGCTGGTGACTAGACAAAGGAAGCTTCACATTTTGTAATCTCTCAGCTCCTTTCTGAAGATGGTGAAATGAAACTGATACACCCCATTCTACCCTTGCCTCAATCTCATCTTCGGTTTTAAGGGATCAGTGGCTAGCAGAGAATATTGTTCAAAATTAAAAGACTGATTAGGAGCAAATAGAAAAGCAAAAGCTGACTCCTAATACTGAGAGGTAAAGCCATCATGGACTCAATGTCTAGTACAATCTCTCTAGATTCAAATCCAGCATCATACTCAGTCAGGTCTGAGGGATGAAAAAGTGCACTGGTCAGTCCTCTACCAAAGTCTCATCTAGGCTCTTGCATGAAATATGGCAAAAGGTGTGACTTCCAGGTGAAAGGCAAGAAAGAGGATTATCAATATGCTACTTAGGAATTCAAATTTTCAGCCCTAAAACAGATTTATTAGTGGGGAGAAAGGGGGACACATAAAAGTATTCTTAGGTAGAATCAAAGTGGAACAGAATTCTGTATATAAGCTCAATTCTGAGAAGCCCCAGAAAACCCAGCATGCTAATAGTGTGCACAGAACTCAACAAGCATTTATTTATCCACCCTCCTACCCACCCATCCAACAGTCTTTGAGATCTATCTACCCTGGGCCAGATTCTGCTCTAGGCGTAATTCTACCAGCAAAGAACAAGACAAATCTGTTCTAATCAGAGCAATGCCCTCATAGGGCTTATACTTAAGTGGCTAAAGAAAGATACAATTAAAAAACAAGATATTTTCAGAAGAAAAGAAGACAATGTAATAGAGACTACTGGGGAATCTGGGAAGAAGGTGGAAAGGGTAGTCAGGGAAGGCTTCTCAGAGCTGACGCTATTTGAGCAAAGGCTTGAATGAAGTGAGGAGTGAGTCATGTGAAGATATGGGGGAAGGATATTCAGAGAGACCAAAAGGCAACTGCAAAGGCCCTGAGGGAGGAAACAAGGTTGGTGTGTTTGATGAACAAAAAGGTTTCTGTGGCCAAAGCAAAAGGATCAAGGATATATTAGCAAGAGGTGGAGTCATAGTTATGCAGGAGCCTTATGGGCAGAATAAGGAATGTGGAAACAATTCAAAGTATGGGGGGATGGCATTGAGGGCTTTGTATCAAAGCATGTGGCCTATTTTGGAATTCAAGTTTTTCCAAAAAAACTTGACCTGACCTCCGAAAGCTCCTACGGACTGGTGCATCACATTGATGTTTTGGGTCTCCAGGAATTAGTTCAAAACCAGTGTCTAGTAATCCTCCCAAGATCCGATTAGTTCCCTTTCCCCAATGAAATTACCCTAGTAAGTGGCCACAGGTTTCTCTGAGAAAGGCTAGGAGAAAAACTAATAGTATAAAATTTTAGCTGCACAGTGGGGTCATTCCTGAAGGTGGCGCAGATGCCCCTTTATTCAAGGGGTTCTGCATCTGTAAACTGACTTAGTCTGAGAATTCATTGAGAGACTATGACTAGAAAGAACTCTCTTTTTATGGTTCATCAGATTTCTGTACACTAGATCTGAAAATTTTTCACTCATACAGATCAAGTGACAAAAATGGAAATGTAAGGTAAACAGGAAGATAAAAACAAGAACCCATCTGGTTTTACAGAGAACAATCTCTGAAAAACTCAAAATGGCAGCACCAGACACTATGAAAGTAGTCATGACAGAAGGGAGGAGGACTGACTAAAATAAGTGTTGGTTGAAAGTCTGCTTCAGGAGCAATTAGATCCCCAGATCCTTCCTGCCACCCTGGCAGAACACTGGAAATTTATTCCTTGAAAAGGTAAAAGAGAGGGCCCCAAAACATTCTATGAACTCCCAATGAGTGCTCTCCTCCTCATCCTAAATAGAAGCAAAGAAAGACCATCAGATATTAAAGAATCACATCGATTGAGAAATATATACAACAAAATTAAAAAGCAAATATTCAGGACAAAGAAAAACACTACCATCAAGAGACAATATTACAACAATAAAACAAGAATAGGATACCATCAAAAAGAAGCAGTACAAAAAATTAACTTTGTTTATTAAACAATAGATTCAGAATTTAGAATTAAGCCTCTAGAAACAGACAGAGAGAGGAGATGGAAGGGGACAGGGGGAGGGAAGGGAAAGGAAGAAAAAAACAGAAGAAAAAATTAAGAGAACCAAGCTAAAAGGTCCAATGTCTGAAAAGTATCAGCAAAGGAGAACAGGGAAAATGGAGAGTAGGAGAGTGGGAGGTATAACAACAAAAATAAGGAAAATGCCCAGAAATGAAGAATATCAGTTTCCAACTTAAAAGGGATTACCAGTATAGATAAAAATGGATGAAAATGACCTACACCAAAGCACAGAGGAGACAGTCACCAAAACCAAACAAAATACAAAACACAAACAAGGTCACATACAAGTATTCATGAAATACAATGAAGTTTTATATTTTTTAAAGAATTTTATTTTTTGTCCTCATATAGTAAAATTGACCACTTTATTTTAGTGAACAGTTCTGTAAATTTAACTGTTCACTAATAAAAGTTCAAAAATATGATCTCACCTATAAGTGGAACCTAACCAACAAAACAAAGATGTAAGGAAAATAAGACCAGCAACACTGAAAGAAAAAAGAAACCAACAGAGACAAGAAGGAAGGAGGGAGGGGTGGGTGGGGGAAAAGGAAGGGAAGGGGCAAGTCAAGGAACATATAGCAAGGACTCGTGGACAAAGCCAAAGTGGGGAAGGACTGAGGGCGGGGACGGGGTGAGGGCGGCGCAGGGGAAAGTGGTGGGGGGGGAAGGTGGAGCCAAATGTATTTGAAAAAATAAATTAATAAAAAAATAAAAATAAAAAGTTCAAAAATAAAAACACATGTGTATATTTGTTCAACTACCACCACAAAGAGGGTACATTACATTTCCAACAAGCAAAAATTCTCTGATACTACTCGTTGATATACAAACCCTTACCTCATGCATAACCTCTGACAACCACTGGTTTTCCTAAAATGTCAAATAAAAGGAGCCATGCAATATATAACCTTTTGACACTGACCCATCTAACTCTGCATAATGTCTTTGAGTTTCATCCAAGTTGTGTGTATCATTCCTTTTTATTGCTAAGTACTATACCACTGTGTGAATGTACCATAGTTTATGTATTCATCCTTTCAAGGACATTTGGATTGTTTCCAGTTTTTGCTGTCACATTAAACTGCTATGAACATTTGTGTACAGGTTTCTGGGTAAACATAAGCTTTCATTTCACTAAGGCAGATATCCAGAGTGGGACTGGTAAAGTGTATGTATAACTTCATAAGAAACTGCTAGATGATTTTTCAGAGTGGGATACCATTTTGCATTCCTATAACCAATGCATGAGAGTTCCAGCCACCAGCACTTGGTGTTACCACTATTTTTTGTTTTAGCAATTACAGTATGTGTGTAGTGGTATGTGATCATGTTTTTAATATTAATTTTCCTACTGGCTAATGATATTGAGTATTTTCTCATATTTTTATTTGCCATCCTTATATCCTCTTTGGTGAAGTATGTGTTCAAATCCTTTGACCATTTTTGAGTTGAGTTTTGAGAATTCTTGAGTTTTAAGACTTCTTTATATAATCTAGATACAAGCCTTTTGTCAAATATGTGAGTTGCAAAACTCTCTTGACACTATTTTTAGCAGAGCAAAAATTTCTAATTTTGATGAAGTCCAATTTATTGATTTTTTTCCTGTTATTGATTATGCGTTTGGCATCATTTCTAATCCCAGGTCATAAAGATTTATTTTCATATATTTTCTTCTAAAAGTTTTATATCTTTATGTTTTACATTTGCATCTATGACCCTTTCAAGTTAACTTTTGCATAAGATATGTTTAAATCAAGGTCTTTTAAAAAATATATATGAGTGATCAATTACTACAAAACAATTTGTTGAAAAGACTATCCTTTGTTCATGAATTGATTCGGGATCTTTGCTAAAGATTTAATGGATGTATTCACGTGATCTACTATCTAGGGACTGTTATCCCATTCCATTGATCTATGCATCAATCCCTCCAATACCATAGTGTCATGATTACTAAAACTTGAAACTAAAGTAATTCTTCCAACTTTGTTCTTCTTTTTCAAATTTGTTTTAATTTTTCCAGTTCCTGGGTCCTTACACACAAATTATAGGATTAGCTGGTCTATATCTACAAAAATATCCTGCTAGTTTTTTTATTGGTATTACAATAAATCTATAGATCACTTTGGGAAAAATGACATCACTACTATGTTGAGTCTTCCAATCCACAAACGGCATATATCTCCCCTTTTACTTTGGTCTTCTTGAATTTCTTTTAACAGCACTTTGTAGTTTTCAGTATATAGATCCAGTTTGTTTGTTTTTTTTAAGTCCTCACTGGAAGACATTCTGTCACTGCTTTCAGAGAGAGAGTAAGGGAGAGAGAAATGGAGAGAAACATCAATCAGTTGCGTCCCATATGTGCCTGGACCAGGGATCACATGCGCCTGGACTGGGGATCATACACTCCCAGACCAGGGACCAAACCCACAACTTAGGTATTTGCCCTGATCAGAAATTGAACCTGCAATTCTTCAGTTACAGGATCCAACCAACTGAGCCACATTGGTCAGGGCAGATCCTGTGTGTTTTGATGACTTTATACTTAAGTATTCATTTGGGGGTAGAGGCAAGCTATTGTGAATAGTGTTGTTTTTCAAATTTCAGTTACAAATTGTTCATTATTTATATATAGGAAAATGATTGCTTTTTGTGTGTTGACCTTGTATTCTGTAACTTTTATTCATAAACTCAATTAGAGAATAAA